GTATTTTATAAAAAAAATTCTAAAGCATAAATTATTATTGTTTATTTATACAAAAAAATCAACATTTTTAAAACGTTCCTCCAAGCAAGCCTTTGAGCAATTCAAAATTATATATTTTCAAATGTATTATGAAAAATTAATAATTTAGTTTTAGAATATATTTTGGTAAATATTTAAGGTATTTTAGTATTTTATAAAAATATTTTTGAGTCCTACATTATTATTGTTTATTTATAAAAAATAAAACTTTAAAGAAATGTCTTCATAGCAAACATTTAAGGACTCAAAATATAAATTTTGATAAATACTTCAAGTAATTTATAAAAATAATTAATAAATAAAGAATAATTAAGTAAAAATAATTAATATTTAATAGAAATAGATATCTTTGAAATTTTGAATACAATAAAATGGCAAAAACTTTGTTAAAAATACCATTGATAAATATATTTTATATTAATAATTTTATAAAATAATAAATTAAATTATTTTTATATTAAATTTTTTTTTTAATTAAAAAATTAATCATAAATTTTTTATTTAAATTTAATTTTAAATTAATTAAAAAAATTATATTTTTTTATTAAAAAATTAAGTATAAATTAATGTTTATTTATAAAAAATGAAACATTGAAAAAATGTCTTCCCAACAAACGTTTGGTTTAAATTTTGGAAAAATCTGGTAAAATATTAATAGTAGAGTTTTGGAATTAATTGTAGTATATAAATAACTTATTATAGTATTTTATAAAAATAATTTCAAAACCTACATTATTAGTATTTATTTATAAAAAAAATTCAGCATTGTTAAAATGTCCCCCAAACAAGCCTTTAGCGATTTAAAATTTAGATTTTATTAGATATCTTATAATATATTAATAATGAGATTCAAGAATAAATTTTCTAGTATATCTGGTATTTTATAAATATTGTAAATAAATATTGTTTTAGCAGTAAAAATAAATAATATACTTTCATACTTGATAACACATCTTCATGTTTAGAAAATTTATCATAAAAATAAATTAAAGTGATAGTACATAAATAAAACATTTTTAAATAAATAATAAATTTATTATTACCGTGTATCTTTTTCCCCAATATATAAAAACTGCACAAAATTTTAAAAATAACCTCTCAGCCTAACAAGAAAACATAACATCATGTTTTTCCTCTAAAATCACCTCAATACATACCTGATTTTTAATTATCTGATTGAACTTTATTCAACAAACACTGAAATATATTATAATTGACATTTATAATTTTAAATTTATTTTATTTAATTGAAAACATTTCGTGTTTTTCACGAATTCGATGTCCTTAGTCAAAAATATATTAAGTTACTACTAGAGTCGAGTTGCATGTAGTGGATAGACAACAGAAACTAAAATTGAATTTTAGACAGAAAGCTGGGGGAAAAATTATTCAAAATTATAAAATTTGAAAGGTTGATAGTTTTTGGATGTTTATGGTGAATATTTAAAAGGTTGAACGTTTGTAGGCAATTTTAAAAAATTATTTTAGAGAACATGTTTAATGAGTGAAATGTTATGGCTGTGCATTGTATAAGATTTATACATTTATAAACAATATATATATATATATATATATATATATATATATCCTCAATAAAATGATAAAAATCCTTGATATATATATATATAATATATATATATATATATATAAATTCCTAATATTATTGAACATTATAATAAAAATAATTCAGTTTATATTTTTTTTGTATTTATCATATAAAAATATTAATTTAAAAAATAAAATTATAGTGTTAAAAATTTTGTTTGTTATTTTATTTTAAATCAATTTTTCTTGCCGACTTTTTCATTTTTCGTTTTTTTTTAATTTGTGTTTGCTATTTTTGTCGATATTTATAACCCTTTGTCATATTAATTCTTTATGCTATTTTAGTTTTAATTTAATTTTTCTTGTCAATTTTTTTTCGTCTTTTTTACAGTTTTTTTCTTTTTTTTATTTCGTTTTTTATTTTTTACATTTTTTTAAATCAATTTTTCTTGTCGATTTTTTTATTTTTCGTTTATTTAATTTTTTTTACTTTTATCAATTATGTTTTAATTTAATACTCTTGTCTTTTTTTATTTTTTGACCGTTTGATTTAATTTTTCTTCCCAATTTTCGTTATTTTTTGTCTTTTCCTAATTTTTTGCTATTTTTGTGGAATTTGTTTTAATTTAATTTTTCTTGATGATTTTCTTTATTTTCCGTCTTTTTCTATTTTTGCCGATTTTGTTTAAAATTCATTTTTTTCACACTTTTATCTTTAAATTGAATTAAACTTATTTCAATTTAAATTTTCTTGACGATTTTAGTTATTTTCGTCTTTCTCCTATTTTTGCCCATTTTGTTCAAATTTTTGACACTTTGTCTTTAATTTAAATTAAATTTGTCATTATTCAATAACTTTATATTTGTTATTACTGTATATTTTATCATTTAATTTTGCAAATTAATATTATATGAAGAATAATTGAATTGGCAGTCAAAACGTTTAGAAATTTTTTGAAATTATATATATTTATATTATATTACATGCTCCAATATATATATATATATATATATAATATATATATATATATATATTAGGGTGGTCCTTAAAATGGTCATTTTCGAATTTTCTTGCTCCCAGGGGCTCAAATGGTTCCAAATAGATAAAAAACAATTCTCTAAAAGTTTTAGCTCTTAATATTGACGTTTAGATAGAGCGCAATTCAATCAAAGTTTGTATGGGAAGAGCATGGAAACAATTTTGAAAATTTAAAAAAAATGTTTTAGGTTTAACTTAGCGACAAATGAATGAGTTTTATTCATTCATTTGTTCGCGAAATTACATCTAAATAACATTTTTTAAATTTTTGAAAATTTTTTCATGCTATTTCCATACAAAACTTTGATTGAATTGCGCTTTATCTAAATGTTAATATTAAGAGCTAAAACTTTCAGAGAATTGTTTTTTATCTATTTGGAACCATTTGAGCCCCTGGGAGCGAGGAAATTCGAAAATGACCATTTTAAGGACCACCCTAATATATATATATATATTATTCATTCTTTTATTTATTTTTGAGTAAATTTTCCACATAATCTCCTACTAATTCTAAGCATTATTAAAATAGAACTTGCGAGACCCAATTTTGATCATTTACACTTCAATATATAGGCTGAACTAATATCAATTTAATTTCTGCTTTTATTTCATAATAATTATAATAACTAGGTGTAAGTGGCATTTTGCCTCTAGGCAAGTTGCATATACTTTCCAATACGTGTAAATAACATACTAGGTTAATTATCAATTTTCAAATACTAAAACTAAAATATTAGGCAATATTATAGATAATTTAATTCTGTACAAATTTGACGAATATTTTATATATTTAGGACAAACGGTTTAAAAGTTACAAGAGATGTAATAAATAAATGCATGAAAATAAAACCAGTTTGTATTGTTAGGACTAGCCATATATTTAATGCCTTATTAATTAATCTAATATTAAAAACAATAAATATTTTCTCACAGAGCACCTTTGTGTTAGCACAATTGTATATAATATAATAATATAATATATTATTATATATATAATGCTTACCTTAAATCTAATAGCTTCTCTTCTTGTTTAAATTTAAATATATTTATAATTAATACTTTTATATATTTTCAAAATTAAGTGTATATATATGTATATATATATATATATATATATATATATATATATTATATAGTTATTTCAATTTAACAAATACTGAGAAATTTTTCCTACACCCAAAAGTAAAATGTGCAGTTCTATAATATAATTAAGTAGCTTCTTTTATAAGTTAATATAATTAATATAAATTAATACATAAATATATAATTGATATAATACTTTTATTAAAATAGTAATAATGGAATATATATATATATATATATATATTATAATTAACTATATATATATATATAATTATATATATATATATTATAATAACTAGGCAGTTAATATTTTCTGGGCAAAAGAATTTAATGATTTTTTAGGCTTTTCCTCAAAAAAAAATGTACAAATATAAATTGTTAAATGTATTTTTTTTTACTGCCGGATAATTTTAAACACATATTTTCTCCAATTTTTTGAAAAACTTTAAAGAATAAAAAAAATTTAAAGAATTGATAATAGTTATAAATTAAAATTATAAAAATTTCCTTCTTATTTTTGTAATTTTCCGGTTTAAAAACAAAATTTAAACAAAAATCAATTTAGTCTTTGTAAAATAAATGTAAATATTTAAAATAATAAAAAAATATTAAATTTAAATCTACTGGAAATAAAAATAAACTATAAGACAATTTTGAAAATAAATCGTTTATAGACAAACAAAAGCTTTTTTTATATATTTTGGTATAAATTTTTATCTGCCCAGAAATTATATATATATATATATATATATATATATATATATATATATATATATATATATTATAAAAACTATTCCATTATATAATTTTTATAAATTCATCAGTCAAGTATTCGAATATCTGAACTTTTCAATAATACTCTTTTAATTTATTAAGTCAATAAAATTATAGTTGATTCATTTATTATTATTTGTTATTTTCATTAAAAATTAAACAAAATAAATGCTTTCATAAATAATAAACCAACAAATATAATATTCGCAAAATAAACTATAAACTAAATTTATATATATATAAATAATGATTAGATTCTTGGAATGTATAGTATTACAAAAAATGCAACATAAATAAATACTTTCTTTATATTTTCTTTAAATAAAAATGCAGTTTAATTGTAGTCAATTCGAGTTAAGTTTGGACGTGAATAAATAAATTGGTGTTTTTGTAATTTAATAATTATATAGTTATTATATATTACTATAAGAATTTTATATGTGTGCTAGTTATATATTCTTATAATTTATATATATATATATATATATATATATATATAAATATCATTCTGCTTTTTTTTCTATCAAAAATACTCATTCATATAATATATCTTTTCTCAAAGTTTAAAAAAATATTCTAACATACCGAATAAATATCCTTCGATCTATAGACAATTCAAATATATTCTTCACAAATTATCGGTATCTCCTCTGGCCCATCGTAGGACTTTCCTGGTCATTATTTCTGTGTGTAAAATGTCCTGCAATTCTTTTAATTGGTCTCGGAGAACTTGCATGTTGATTCAGATCGACCGACTGGAAATTCAGGTCACCACTTTGTAACTCTGGTTGATTCCAATCTGAAAAGATAATAGACATATGAATATATACATATATATATATATATATATATATATATATATATATATATAAATACATATATATATATATATATATATATATATACGAGGTCTGTTCAAAAAGTACCCGGAATTTTCGTTTTTTCAAAAAAATATTTATTTATTCGTCTACATTAATGTGGTCCCCTTCAAAGTAGTCCCCCCCAGATATAATACACTTATGCCAGCGTTTTTCCAATTTTCGAAGCACCTTGATATTCACTTTTTGATATGTCCTTGAGCACTCTCAGCGATTTTCTTCAATCGAGGAAAACCGCCGTCCTTTCATGGGTCTCTTCAACTTTGGGAATAGGAAAAAGTCACTCGGAGCCATATCTGGTGAATATGGAGGTTGGGGCATGACTACGGTATTGTTTTTGGCCAAAAAATTACGAACAAGCAACGACGAGTGAGCAGGTGCGTTATCGTGGTGCAACAGCCATGAATTGTTTTGAAAAATGTTATGACATGAGCCAATTGATATGCCAACTTCATCAGCAACTTCTCTAATTGTGATTCGGCGAACATTCATAACCATTTTTTCCACTTCTTTCACATTTTCATCGTTTGTTGACGTGCTGGGTCGACCGGAGCGTTCGTCATCTTCAACGTCTTCGCGGCCATCTTGGAAACGCTTATACCACTACTCGTAAACACTTGTTTTTTTCATAGCAGACTCACCATAGGCTTTTTGTAACATTTCACACACTTTGTTACACTTTATTTCATTTTTTACGCAAAATTTAATACAAATTCTTTGACTTTTCAATTCTTCCATTGTAAAAATCGCCGAGCTCAGAAAAACACGTCGAACTTAGCGACTACCACAGACAAAGTAAACAGTGAATATAGCTGAAAATTTCATCATACTTTAGGGGCATGTATACCAACACAATAAAAAAAAAATTTTGACAATCAGACACTCCAGACCCGCGAAATTTAAAAATTCCGGGTACTTTTTGAACACACCTCGTATAAAGATAAATATATAAATACATATATAAATATATATATATATATATATATATAATTATTTTTTATTACCTCTGCCTGATACTGGTTGATGTCTTCCACTATCGGGAACACTCATAGTGGTTGTTGATGTCCCAGAAACAATGTTTAGAGAACTTTGGGATGGACAAAAGACTTTTGCAGAAAAGTCTTCAAATGTGGTGCGTTCTGAATATCTGGAAGCCACCACGTCCAAGGAACGTACACGTTCTTCGTAACTGCAAACAATAGCATTAACAAGTTATGAATTTAACTATATAGATATATCTTCTATATCTATAAAAATAAGTCGGGTTTTCCTTCCTGACGAAATAACTCCAGAACGCACAAACCGATTTGCATTCGTTGGAAAGGTCCCGGGCTCCGCAAGGTTTATAGCTAAGAAAATTAGTGGTACATGGCATCGTGCCCTAATTCAAATTCCTGGAACTTCACGCACCGTAATTAAAAATTCGAGTAATGACATTAGTGAGAATTTTCAGAATTATGCTTGGTTAAATCAACGAGCAATTCTTGCCGCAAAGAATAAAGATGTACATGCACTGAATTTCACCATTCAATCAAAAATTGCTGGGGATTTGGTGACATACCAATGATTCCGACTGGTCGTTTGATTTCAAACAATTGCAATTTCCAATTCGCATTGCGTTCGCAATAACAATTCGCAAAGGCAATCGCTTAGTGTTTGCGGGATAAATATCAAATAGATTATTTAGAAAATCATTGTTTTTCACATGGGCAGTTATACGTTGCCTGTTCATGAGTTAGAAAACCATCCGCTTTGTTTGTGTTAACGTCAGACCAAAAAACAAAAAATGTGGTTTACCAAAGAGCACTTCAATGAAATGGATAATTTGCGGATTCACTTTCATTTACTTAGAGAAGTTCAACTAAAAAACACTTCATTTTTGTAATCGAAATAAATTCATTACTGTTGTATAATAAAATCAAATTTTGCCTTTTCAAGTATAAAACAAACAAAAAATTTCTTCATCTTTCTCACGAAATCATCTGGTGGCGAAACGGAGCTCGTCGGGTTTGCTAGTTTATACATATATATATATATATATATATATATATATATAATTTTCTTTTATCTTACTATTGCTGGTATCCAGAAAGTCCTGTTCTTTTAGCTCGACTGGCATTAATAGCAGTCGACCTGATCAATCCTGCCAAACAGGACCCACCAACAACTGCTTCATCGTGTACAGGACCAAAAAATGGAACCTGAAAGATAATTGTAAATTTAATATTTACAAAATACAATATATTATGAATCGTGGTACTTACATCAGGTTTTTTATTGACTGTTATCCTAAACAAACCACTTGGCAAAGGATATATAACAATTAGCACATCGCAAAACTCAGTTGGCAAAATGTCTCTTCGATAATCCCTGTAGTGTTCGCTCCATACGATGTGTACTTCGTCGTTTCCTAAATGTCTTGTCTAAAAAATAATAATAATATTATATAAGCACAATTGTATATAATATAATAATATAATATATTATTATATATATAATGCTTATCTTATATCTAATAGCTTCTCTTCTGGTTTAAATATATTTATATGTAATACTTTTATATATATTCAAATTTAATTATATATATATATATATATTTATAAATATATATATATATATATATATATACATATATATAATAGATATATCAATTTAACAAATACTGAGAAATTTTTCCTACACCCAAAAGTAAAATGTGCAATTCTATAATATAATTAAGTAGCTTCTTTTATAAGTTAATATAATTAATACAAATTAATACATAAATACATAATTGATATAATACTTTTACTAAAATAGTGATAATGGAATATTTAATTATATATATATATATATATATATATATATATATATATATAAATATATATGTATGTATGGGCAGTTAATATTTTCTGAGCAAATAATTTAATGATTTTTAGGCTTTTTCCTCAAAAAATATTCTTCTACAAATATAAGTTCCGAATAATTAAGATAAACAAAATATACACAAGCTTCTTGACTGAATTTGTATCTACACAGATATAGTGCGGATAAAATTTTAATTTAGAAGTATATCGAGTTGCTGTATGTTTTTACAATATTAGACAATATTATAGATCATTTAATTTTAAACAAATTTGCCAAATATTTTATTAATATTAGACAAACCGTTGAAAAGTTACAACAAATATAAGAAGAAAATGCATGAATCGTCAATCAATTACATAGACTCTATTACACATTCAGATTAGATCGAATTTCTATTTTCTAATGCGATTTAAAGTATACCGAGTTGCTGTAGGTTTTTACAATGTTAAAAAATGACAAAAAAAATCGACAGAAAATGGCAAAAATTGTAAAAAGTCAAAAATCAAATCGACAAAAAATAGAAAAAAAAATTGAAAAAAGTCGACAAAAAAAAACTAATTTAAAACAAGATTGCAAAAAAATTGGAAAAGCAAAAAATAAAAAATAAATTAACATTAAAAAAATGCAAAGATGAAAAATAAAAAAAATAGATAAGCAAAATTTGGAAGAAGACGAAAAATTTAAAAAATCGACAAGAAAACTTAAATAAAAACAAAATCGAAAAAACTAAAAAAAGGCAAAAATGAGTAAAAAAAATTAAAAAAGTCTACACAAATGTTATATGATACCAAAAACACTTAAATTATAATAAATACTTATATTATAATTTATATTAAATGTTATTTATTAGTTCTAAAATATTTGTTTTAAAATTCATCTAATTTTTAAATTAATAAAAAAAAGTACAATTTTAACAAACTTTTCGAGCTTTTCTTTAACCCATTTTCAGTACAAAATAATTAATAAAAATATAATATGTTAAAGTACGAATAAATAATAATAACAAATCGAAAATATGAAGTTTTTTGTTAATATTAAAAAATTTAAAATAATTGTTAAAAAATTAATGGAATTATTAATGGTTTTATTTATTATTCCCTATTTATGTAATTTAAGCATTGAGATTTTTTGGGTTTTGTACTAATTTTTCCTTTTTCAAAATATTTTTATATACATTTATTTATAAATTACATAACTTGACAAATAATTTTTTAAATTTGATAAAACACATAAAAACCGTTTCAAATTTTTTCAAGATTTAAACTAGAATAAATGATACATAAAATGTGCACGAGCACCCTGACTAAATTTGTTTCTACATAGATAATAATCTCGCAGATTAAATTTTTGTTTGAAGTATACTGAGTTGCTGTAGGTTTTTACAATGTTAGAAAATGTTATAGATTATTTAATTTTAGGCAAATATGTCGAATATTTCATTAATATTAGACAAATGGTTTAAAAGTTACAATAAATTTAATAAGCAAATGCATGAACTGATTGTCAAATAGATAATTTAAATTCTTAACATTTTTAACTTAGACCAAGTATATCATGTTGCTGTAGGATGTTACAATATTAGACAATATTATAGATTATTCAATTTTAAACAAATTTTCCGAATATTTTATTGATATTAGTCAAACGGTTTAAAAGTTACAACAAATATAACAAGAAAATGCATGAATTTTCGATTAATTAGATAGATTCTGTTACACATTCTGATTAAATCGAATTTCTACTTTCTAATTCAATTTAAAGTATACCGAGTTGCTGTAGAATGTTACAATGTTAGAAAATGTTATAGATAATTAAATTTCAAACAAATTCGCCGAATATTTCATTAATATTAGACAAACCATTTAAAAGTTATAACAAATGTAATAAACAAATAAATGCAGACAACAATTGTCAATAATTAGATACTTCAATTCAATTGCAGTTTTACAGTAAATCGAATTTCTGTAGAGCATTTTGTTGTTAGAAAGATTAAGATTTTTTTTTATTTATTTATTCATTTATTTGAATTTCATTTCATTTATTTAATTAAAGTTAATTAAATAATTTAGGTTGGAAAAACAATATAATAAATAAATGCTTTTACAGCGCTTGCAGATTAAATGTATAGCAAGTTGCTGTAGAATGTTACAATGTCAGCAAATATTATATTCTATTTAATTTTGAACAAATTTACCGAATATTTTATTAATATTAAACAAACGGTTTAAAAGTTACAGTAAATATAATAATAAATTTAGATTAGACCGATTTACTAATTTCAATTTTAAAGTATACCGAGTTTCTGTAGAATATTACTATTTTAGAAAATGTTATAAATAATTTAATTTTACGCAAATTAAATTATTATTAGACAAACGATTTAAAAGTTACAACAAATCTAACAAAGAAATGCATAAATCGATGGTCAATTTAAATTAAATCGAATTACTAATTTCAATTGAATTTTAAAGTATACCGAGTTGCTGTAGAATGTTACAATGTTACAAAATGTTATAGATTATTAAATTTTAAACAAATTCGCCCAATATTTCATTAATGTTAGACAAACGGTATAAAAGTTAAAGAAAATATAATAAACAAATGCAGGCAACAATTGTCAATAATTAAATAGTTCAATTCAATTGCAGTTTTGGAGTTAATAGAATTTCTATAAAGCTTTTTATTGTTAGAAAGATTAATAAATATTTTTATTTTATTTTATTTATTTAGTTTTAAACGAAATTGTCTGAAGATAATTAAATAATTTAAGTTGTATGAATAAGATAAAGGTTTCTTTTCATCAATTTAGTAATTCAGATGGTGATCAAACACAAAATATATTTGCGCAAAGCAAAATCCTTAAACATATTGAAAATTTCGTTTTATAAATAAGAAATTAGGGTTTGTGATAAAAAGACAAAAATAATATTTTCTTTTACAGTAATTAATATATTCGTGACATAAAAGGTTCAAGATGATATAATAACGTATATTATTAAACTTATATATTATGAGATAGATATTATCGTTATATAAGAATTGCAGATCAAATTCTATTTTTAATTGCTATTTCAAAGTATACCGTGTTGCTATAGAATGTTACAATGTTAGAAAATGTTATGATGATTTAATTTTAAACAAATATGCCGAATATTTTGTTACTATTAGACAAACCGTTGAAAAGTTACAGTAAATATAATAAGCCAATGCATAAATCGTCGATCAATCAATCAATTAGGTCGAATTTCTATTTTGTAATGCAAATTAAAGTATATCAAGTTGCTGTAGAATGTTATAATGTTAGAAAATATTATAGATTATATAATTTTAAAGAAATTTGCC